CACCAAACTACTTGTCCTCACACTCCACAACAAAATGGAGTAGCTGAACGTAAGAATAAACATCTCATTGAGACTGCACAGACTCTTCTTATTCACATGCATGTTCCTCTTCACTTTTGGGCCGATGCAATCCTTGCCTCTTGTTTTCTCATCAACCGTATGCCTTCATTTGTGCTTAATAATGACATTTCTTATAACTTATTGCTTCCAGATGTTCCTCTCTATCCTCTATCCCCACATGTCTTTGGTTGTACCTGTTTTGTTCATGATCTCACCCCTGGTAAGGACAAGTTAACATCTAAAGCCTTTAAATGTACTTTTCTTGGTTATTCTCGTCTTCAAAAGGGTTATCGTTGTTATTCTTCCGATCTTAAGCGTTACTTAGTTTCCGCTGATGTCACTTTTCTTGATCAACAACCCTTTAATTCTATCCCATCTCCGTTGTCATAGGTTGATCATGTTCTTCCTGTCCCTTTTCTTGACTTGTCTTTGCCAGCTGCAGGTGCTTCTATTCCAGATGAGCAACCTATTGCTTCTATACCTGCGGACCGTCCACTTCTCACCTATCAGCATCGCAAAACTGTGCCTCCTGTCGACTCGACTCTTGCTGACTCATCGCCCACTGCTGTTGATTCTTCCTCTCCGGATCCTTCACCTGAGGTTCTTCCCATTGCTCAAAGAAAAGGTACACGTACTACTCGTAATCCTTATCCTCTTTATACCTTTTTGAGCTATGACCGTCTTTCTTCACCTCATTTCACCTTTGTTTCTAGTCTTTCTTCTGTTTCTATTCCTAAGACCACAGGTGAAGCACTTTCCCATCCAGGGTGGCGCCAAGCGATGCTTGATGAGATGACTGCACTTCATTCCAATGGCACTTGTGACCTTGTTTCTGCTCCTCCAGAGAAGTCTATAGTTGGTTGTCGCTGGGTGTTTAATGTGAAAGTTGGACCTGATGGCCATGTTGATCGACTCAAGGCACACCTAGTTGCAAAGGATTTTACTCAAATCTTCGGCCTTGATTATAGCGATACATTCTCTCCGGTCGCTAAGATGGCGTCAGTTCGCCTATTTCTTGCTCTTGCTCTTGCTGCTGTTCGTCATTGGCCACTCCTTCAACTTGACATCAAAAATGTCTTTCTTCATGGTGATTTACAAGAAGTCTACATGGAGCAACCACCTGGTTTTGTTGCTCAGGGGGAGTCTGGGAAGGTGTGTCGTCTTCGAAAATCCTTATATGGTCTCAAGCAGTCTCCTCGCGCATGGTTCAGTCGCTTCAGTTCTGCAGTTCAGAAGTTTGGCTTAATCCGCAGTAAAGTTGACCATTATGTATTTTATAGGATCACATCTCCTGATAAGTGCATCTATTTGTTAGTCTATGTTGATGACATCATTCTCACCGGAAGTGATCAAGGCGGAATTCGTCAGTTAAAACAGCATTTATTCAGTGCATTTCAAACAAAGGGACCTTGGGAAGCTGCGTTACTTCTTGGGAATTGAGGTGGCGCAATCTAGACAGGACATTTTCATCTGTCAAAGGAAGTATGCCTTGGATATCCTAGAAGAGACTGGTATGTTGGGGTGTAAACCAGTTGATACACCCATGGATCCTAATGTCAAGTTATTGCCCGGACAGGGGGAGCCGTTATCTGGTCCTGGACGTTATCGGAGGCTAATTGGGAAGCTCAATTATCTTACTGTGACTAGGCCAGACATTTCTTTCGCTGTTAGTACGGCTAGTCAGTTCCTTGATTCCCCTTGTGATTCTCATTGGGATGCTGCTGTGAGGATCCTCCGATACATCAAAGGAGCACCAGGAAAAGGTTTGTTGTATTCGGATCAGGGAAATACAGAAATTTGTGGTTATTCAGATGCTGATTGGGCATGATCACCCTCGGACAGGCGCTCTACTTCCGGCTATTGTGTCTTCTTTGGAGGAAACTTAATTTCTTGGAAAAGCAAGAAACAACCTGTTGTTGCTCGATCTAGTGCAGAAGCTGAGTATCGTGCAATGGTAAATACTACCTGTGAGTTAATCTGGTTAAAGCAGTTGATTCAGGAGCTTCATCTTTGTGAACAGAAACAACCCATGACACTCATTTGTGATAATCAAGCTGCGCTACATATATCCTCTAATCCTGTATTTCATGAGAGAACCAAACATTAGAGATTGATTGTTACTTCATTCGAGAAAAGATTCAGTCAGGAGAAATCAAGACAGCTTTTGTCAACTCTTCTGATCAACTAGCAGATGTCTTCACTAAAGCTCTTAAAGGTCCTCGGGTTGAATACATTTGTACCAAGCTTGGTGCTCACAATATATACGCACCAGCTTGACGGGGAGTGTTAGAATATATTAGATATGATTAGATTACTTCCTATCTATAATTATTTTGATTGTATTAGGTCTGGGCCTTTCACTTAAGCCCATTAGGGTCTCTATATATTGTAACTCTCTGAATTAGATCAATACACAACATTATTATTTCATATTCAAGTGGATACACACAGACCTATGGCATTGATTACGAAGAAATATTTGCTCCAGTGGCCAAAATGAACACTGTAAGAGTTCTATTGTCCCTTGCTGCTCATTCTAATTGGGATTTAAGACAATTTGATGTAAAAATGCCTTCCTCAATGGTGAATTAGAAGAAGAGGTTTACATGGAGATTCCACCAGGATTTAACTCCACAAATGGAGAAAACAAAGTTTGCAGGTTAAAGAAGGCATTGTATGGCTTGAAGCAATCCTCGCGTGCTTGGTTTGGAAGATTTGCAAAAGTTATGCTTTCATTGGGGTACAAACAAAGTCAAGGAGATCATACACTTTTCTTTAAACATTCTCAAGAAGGTAAGCTCACTATCCTTCTTGTTTATGTTGATGACATTATTATAACAGAGGATGATATAGATGAGAAGCATGCTCTGTAAGAAAGATTGACTGCTGAATTTGAAGTTAAAGACCTTGGAAAACTGAGATATTTTCTGGGGATAGAAGTTGCTCATTCAAAGCAAGGGATCTTTATTTGTCAACGGAAGTATGTTCTTGATCTCCTTAAGAAAACAGGAAAACTTGGGTGTAAACCTTCCAGTACTCCAATTGAGCAGAATCACAAACTAGGGAGTGAGAATGAGAGTCCTCCAGTTGACAAAGGACAGTACCAACGTATAGTGGGGAGATTAATATACCTTGGTTACACTAGACCTGAGCTAGCTTATGCAGTCAGTATTGTTAGTCAATTCATGCATGATCCGAGGGAAAAACATCTGCAGGCTGTGGATAGGATTCTCCAATATCTAAAAGGCACACCAGGCAGAGGACTATTATTCCAGAGAGGAGGAAACTTATCCTTAGAAGTGTATACAGACGCAGATTATGCTGGATCCGTAACTGACCGACAGTCTACCTTAGGCTATTGTATGTTTCTTTGTGGAAATCTCATAACATGGAGAAGCAAAAAGCAAAATGTGGTTGCTAGGTCGAGTGCAGAAGCAGAATTTCGAGCCATGGCTCAAGGTATCTGTGAGTTATTATGGCTGAAAATCATTCTAGATGATCTAAATGTGAGGTGTGAAGGGTCTATGAAGTTACTCTGTGATAACAAGTCAGCTATTTGTATAGCCCACAATCCAGTCCAACATGACCACACCAAACATATTGAGATTGATCGCCACTTCATCAAGGAGAAACTAGATAGCGGACTAATCACTACTCCATATATTTCGTCTAGTTGTCAATTGGTTGATGTCTTGACTAAGGGTTTTCCTAATGATAGGTTTCAAGAGCTTACTAGCAAGCTCAGAATGATAAATATCCATTCCTCAGCTTGAGGGGGAGTATTGTAAATACTAGAATTATTTTATTATTATGTAATTTATAATAGTCAGTATTTGGGCTTAGCCCATTAGGTTTCTTTATTCTCTTTAAATAGAGAACTCTTGTACAGATAACACACAGTTTTATAATACAAATATATTTCTTTCAATTAAAAACTTTTTACTGATGCTATTGTAATTTCATAACATTCTCTGGACACAGTTGGTAAGAGTTAATGGGGCTGTAAGTAGAGATTGAAAAGTGTAAGAGAATAGTATAAATCATTACAAGGGCCCTCACCTAACAGCTTAAGCTTTTGGGTTGAATTGGTTTTTTACATGGTATCAAAGTCTCAGTGTCACGGGTTCGATCCTCACTGCCCCTCATTTAATTAATAATTAATTTTCTTGTGGAGTTTCTTAGCACAGGTAGGTGAGGTTGTGCACTATCCACCCTTCAGTCCCATTGGACTCTCGTGTAAGGGGTTTTTTAAGAGAATAGTATAAACTATTAAAAGAGCCCTCACTCAACAGCTTAAGAAACTCCACAAGACTTAATTAATTATTAATTAAATGAGAGGGAGGGGTTGAGGATCGAACCCGTGACACCGAGGTTCTGATATCATGTAAAGAACTAATTCAACTCAAAAGCTTAAGCTATTAGGTGAGGCTACATTAATGTTTTTTATACTTCTCTAAACTTTCTATGTTTTCTTGCAAACGTTTATGAAGATCATTGCCGATTCTGGTCAAAGATCAGATTCAATTTGGAGTTATTGTGATTTGTTGTGATTTAGGAATTATTGTAACAGATAACTTTTAGGATCCCGATTCTTTCCTTATGTAGCTCAGCTGTTTATTTTCTGTAATTAGTATAATTTAGACAGATAATATCCTGATTTTTAGGTACAAGATTTGGGTCCTAAAATCATGGGTAAGGATCCTCAACACTAGTATATATTCTAGCTCTAGTATTGCAGGGTAAATCAGAGAATTCCGTTGTCTGATCCTTTCGGTTTTCTGATTTTATTTGACTAAAAAAAAACAATTAACCTTATTTGCAATTATTTGCCTCTGTTTATTACCAATAGTGCATTGCTGGAGTGGTGATTAAGGAAATTAGGAATCTCTTCCCAGCTGTAGCTTGTCTTATGTCCTTAGGTAATTGTTCTCTGTTACTAGGGAAACAGTATTCTTGCGGATTCTGGTTCAGAGCAGCTTGAATTTATTGCTCTCTCTCAAAGAACAAAAGACCCCAAGTACCATCAAAAGGTAATCTCTTGCTGCTTTTATGCGTGTTTCATGAATAATATTTTTTCGGCCAATCAATAATTGTCAACTTTGTAAGTCTATTCTTTGAGGTGAACCAGGTCCAAGTATTCTTGTTTTTCCTTTGAGAGTGTACTGATTTTGAGAGTGTTGTGATTTTCTGCAAGAGTGGAAGTTTATTTTTTATGTCAATTCTGAGGTATTTGCCTTCTGATATTTCAGGCGGAGAAGGTCATCAAAGAGCTTCAAAGAACTTTTCCTGAGGATGGGTTGCTTCCCATATATCTTAATCCACTTACTGGAACTAAATCAGCCGGTTCAATTACATTTGGTGCTATGGGTGACAGGTAATGACACTGATGATATCTTATAACATAATCTTTTCATGATGTTACAATTGTTAGCCATATAGGCTAAGCTGGCTAACTATATCTTCAAATAAAATTCAGTTGCAACTTTATGCGAAATTTTGTTGAACTCTTTGACAAGGCTTAAAGAATTTAGAAGATTCAGATGGGTTGTTGACCCTTTGTGCGCAATGGAACAGTTTGATGATAAATTGAATTTGATAGAGGGACTTCGGTGATGTGTTATGGTTACTGGAAATATGGAATAAACTGGAGTTATTGATGTTTATGGGTTTGAGGGGTGGATGGTGATTTTTAATGTGTTGATGGGTATTGTAATGGTGGTTCACGTATGATCAGAGATACTTCCGTGCAAGCATAAACTTCGCATATTTTAAAGGAAGAACATTGGTCAACTATCCCATATGCGATTACTCAACTCAACTAATTGTTGTCTTCTTTTGATTGGTTGTAACAGTGTGACAATATGTTGAAAGTAAATGTCAACTGGCATGTTTAACCTTCACTATATTGCAGACTGCTAAACATTTTCCAGTCACTTCATTCCTCGCATGCTTAAAATGGTTGCCAATGTATGTGTTGCAGCTTCTATGAATATCTACTCAAGGCCTGGATACAAGGGAACAAGACTGAAGTAGTACAATTTTACAGGTAAATAGGTAATGAACTTGGAATATCAGCTGTCTTATGAAAAATCAAGCATTTTTTATTGACTTTGCCTGCCAAAAAGTTATTGATCCTGCTGTCCTGTCACAAGTCATGCACTTGACTCTGTCTTTCACTAAACATAGAAGCCAAAGTATTTTAGTATGGGCTGCCATAGATCCTGTGCCCAAAATTGTGAATTTGCGACTATTTTATAATTAATTAACAGAAGTTAATTATGCTATTCTCTGATCTCTCCAGTGTATATTCTACAAAATACCTGACATTTGACAAACATTCCCTCACTTTCTTCTATGCTCTTGTTGCATGTGTTTTCTGTTTGGTCTGACATGCTACAATCATCTGGCACACCTTTTTTTGTGTTTTTTCTTTAATATAAAAGTTCAAACTTAGAATTAAGCCTGCATCTGGACCCCTATATATTGTGTGAGCAAATGGTGTATTCAGGGAAATGTGGGAGACATCAATGAGAGGTCTTCAAAGCTTGATTAGGAAGTCAACACCATCATCTTTTACATACATATCTGAGAAGCTTGGAAATGCACTCTTTGACAAGGTGCTATTTGAAAATGAAATTTTTTCAACCTTAGTCGAGTATGTTATGAAAAGGATCTCTGATATTCTTTTCTCTTTTTCAGATGGATGAATTAGCATGTTTTGTTCCTGGAATGGTGGCTTTGGGATCTTCTGGCTATGGCCCTGGAGAAGCTGACAAATTTATGTCTCTTGCAGAGGAGGTAATACTTTAGTAGTATGTGTTAAATCATCACTCAATTTGTTTATAAAACTTAGGGCAGTTCAAACTGTTCAAGCTGTGATAACCTCCTTGTCAAGGGGAAAAGAAAAGAAAGAAATATGCATAACACATGAATAAAGTAAGCCCTGGAAAAGAGAACGGCTTCTGAACTGAAAGGCCTAGTCGCCGCAAGTCTTGAATTTTACCAATAGACCTTTTGTTTCTGGTCAAGAAATATAATACTCATGGATCAATTCTCCAAAATGCTGAAGTTATTGGGTGGAGATGTGGAAATGATTTTATTTCTGACCCCAACAATTGCTGAATTAATCACCACATCCATTACTTTTAATATTTTATCTTGGTTTATTGTTGACTGATCACTTATCCAGTAAACAAGCTGAAGCTTACCTCAAGTTCTTGACATACTTAATGCCAAGAGTGCTTTTGTTTGGCGATGTTGACTTCATGTTTCTGTTCCTTTCCCTTTTAAATTTTTGAGTAGGCAGTGTTCAGTTAATCTGGGTGAGATTGGAATTAGATTATAGAATTTGAGTTTTTTAGGTAATTTAGGCTTGGTTTGGAAGGGGGACGGGGGAGGAGGAAAAAAATAGAGGTAAGTATTGGAAGAGAGAATTATGGAGAGAAATTGTGTGTGTGGGCAACACACTTGATCTCTTATTTATAGCTTGGTTACAATCAATCAATGGAGTAATCCAGGGGGTAACAAGAACTTAATTAGAAGCTAACTTAAAAAAACCACCCCCCAATTAAACCCGACTAGCGAGTGTGGGGTGAGAAAATCCTTGTACGCAGCCTTACCCTTGCAAATAATTGTAAAGAGGTTGTTTCCTGGATTCGAAGCTAACGTACGGCCTAATAATCAGTAGCTAACTTATAGCCTAATCAGTAGCTAATTGTCATAATTACAATTGATTAAGTGCTAATATTTTAACATAAATGCTGAAATTCTGACAATAGGGAAATAATTTACATGTTTAAGCTTGTATGAGACTGTTCAGATTGCTGTTTATACCATCATACAATTCTTCACTTATTGTAACACTTCCATTCTTCTTTTGGCAAGAGATACTTAGACAAATTTGAAGATGTTTTCAGCCTCCAGTTTTCCTTTAAAAAAATGGATTGTTGTCTTAGTTTTCTTATTGTTTCTGCCACATCTGCTTTGATCTATGCCAACTTCCAAACGGATATTTGAACATTATCCTGGAACTTCATGGGGAATAATGCCCGTTAACATAGGTGTTGACAAATATTTTTCTTTGTTAACATTTTGTGCATAATTTCTAAATATCAGAAGCATATAATTCTAAGTCAAAGGTGTCTAAATATGTCCAAATTCTCGATTGTTTTAGATTGTTTTAGAATAGTATCACACGTTTTCTTACCTTTCCCCCTAGGAATTGGAACCATCATTTGGAACAGAGTAACGAACTAGTTTGCTTCCTGTAGCCAGGTTGTTTGTAACTTCTCTATCTGATCAAACCACGCATCATCCGAACTTTTAGATTTTAATGATAACTGATAAGTATTAATTTGTGCCAGAAATTTATTTGTTTCAATTGCCATTTTTCATTTCAAACTTATAGTGAATTCCATTGCATCCTGTTGTGCAGCTTGCATGGACTTGTTACAATTTCTACCAGTCAACACCAACTAAATTGGCGGGGGAGAACTATTACTTCCGCGAGGGAGAGGTTTGAATCTTTCATTCTCACATTGTTCTCCAAATCCCCTTAGATGTTACGTGCTAAGGTAAAGAAAATTGTAGGATATGAGTGTTGGTACCTCGTGGAATATCCAAAGGCCTGAAACAATTGAGTCACTGTTCTACCTCTGGCGTTTCACTAGAAACAAGACATACCAAGAATGGGGTTGGGATATTTTCCAAGCATTTGAAAAGAACTCTCGGATTGAGACAGGATATGTTGGACTCAAAGACGTAAGAAATTCTTAAACACCTTAAATGTTTTCTCCAAAATGATTTGCTTTCTTAGCCCTGGAAAAGATGCGTCTATTTATTGAGTATTCATGCGTTGCCAAAATTTCCTGATAATCTTCGTGAGAGGAAATGATTATACAATAAACTTGTGCACTACAGAACAAAACTAAGCTATGTCTAAATACCCAGGTGACTACAGGTGCCAAAGATAATATGATGCAGAGCTTCTTCCTTGCAGAAACACTCAAGTACCTCTATCTCTTGTTTTCGCCTCCATCAGTCATCCCTCTTGATGAATGGGTGTTCAACACAGAGGCCCATCCTTTAAGAATTGTGACTAGAAATTCTCGGCAAGAGGGACTGAGTGTGGACCAAGAAGAGAAATTTCCACACCATTTGCATGGTAGAAAAGAAGGTCGAATGGATTACAAGTAATTAAGGTTTGTTGCTTTATGATTTATGGTAAGCAAACCCCGAAGGACATTTTTAGTTCCCTACTCATGTTAGATACACAGACTTCAACTCAGGTTCTGTGTGACAGCATTTGTTACTGTCTTTGCGTGAGAATGATCCACCATGTTGATTAATGGTTGCGCAGGGGACAACTTGTCCAGTTTTATCAAAACCTCTATAATCAGGATTGTCTGTCTCATCCAATCTACGTTATGTGGTAATGTGGTGAAGTATACCTGGAAGCTTTTGTTTCCTGGTATAGTAGTAGGACAAATGTGGGTGTAAATGCCTATGTAGAAATAGAAACCACTCTACTTAATTTTTAACCAATTTTGGCAAGGTTGTAAATTCCCGTGTATCAGTTGAACTGACCATTAACAGGAATGAGATGCAACATGAAATGTAAGTTATTCAGTTTTGAAATTTTCAAATTTCTTGGCTCTTCCAGTTCAAGATTGAGCGAGCATGAAGTGTGACTAAGGTTTCTTATTTTCATTTATTACCAGAATCTGTAAGGTTGAATATCTGATCTGAGACACAGGGAGAATCAGTCACAATTAATATTGCTTAAATGTATTTAGATAGGTTATTCAACTTACCTTTTTTTCATGCCTACATTGTCTATCAATTTCTAACACCGTTAGAGCAGAATCTCAAGAGGAAAGAGAAATGATAAAGGTTAGTTGAGATTCTGATCTAACGATGTTGGAGAGTAATAGACAAGGTAAACATTAAAAAAAGATAGGTAGAATAACTTATCCCCTATTTTAAACCTGTTTGTAAGCAGTAAAGAGTTAGCAAACTCCAAAACTAACCTTAGAATATTCCATTATTTTCACTGTTAAGAGTGAGAAGATTTAGAAGCTAAAGCAAAGAGAAAAAGTTCCAACCAAAAATGCATAAACAAAATTGATAAAGAAAAAGAAAGAAGGCAACCCGTGCATCCCCACCAAGTCAGCTGCAATTATGACACTAAGAGTGGAAGTGGAGTCTTTTTAATAAAGGGAAAAAGCTTAAGAGGAATTATAATGACAGAAAAGGATCACTCATCCCATAGTTGTTTAAAATTTTAATGCAAATTTGAAGGTAGACAGAATGATATTATGCTTATTTAATTCTTCATTCAAGAATGTGCATTTCATATATGAGGAGAGCAGCAAAAAGTGTGAAAGTAGAATCTTGTACTATCTCTTGAGAGAAGTGATGGTTTTTGCATTGGCAAAGAGAATCCGTGTTAGGGATAACTTGAAAAGGCGAGCCATTAGAGAAAGAGGGTTTGTGTCAGCTTGATAAGGCATGCGTTTTATTCAAACTTCAAAGGAACTTGTTTGTTTGCTTGTTGCAACAACAGGCATTAGGAACATTTTTAATGGTCAATAAGGGCATTGGCTTCATTCCCTTTGGCGTTTTCCCATTTCCCTTCTTTGCTCTCTTTATTCTCAAGTCTCATTCTCTAAACTATTTTACAAAACCTGTCCGTGCATGCATTCTTTGGGGTATAAACACTCAATTCTATGATACCAAAATCTTCTCTTCTTCTGTCTCCTAAGTGGAAATTCATTGATTTTGTGCTTTTATGCATGCGCATGTATGAGAGAGAGGGGAAAGGGAAAAGATTTAAGCTGGTTGCTTGAGCATTAAAAACATCAAAATAAAGATACGAGAAAAGCTTTTTCTGATTTGATCCCCAATCCAATGATTTAAATACATAGATCAATTTCCTATTACTGAATAAAGTCAGGTCCATAAAAAAAAAAGGTGTAAAAGGTGAGTGAAGCTTTTTGACTATAATAGTGGTTTGTAGTGGGTACAGTAACAACTTTTTATTCTTAATCTTATTTTTTGACTGTTAAGCTTTTGCCTCAAAGTTACTATGTTGGGTACATCAAAGTGCTGTAAGTTGATCATGCCCACAAAGACTCAATTCCCTTTTTTGTTATTTTGATTTTGAGTTCTAGGCTAACCACACTTCGCATTGTCCTTGATTATGATAGTCTTAAATTTTCTGATCACTAGATTCGTTAAAAAATGTGTACAATGATAATAAAAAAATTGATATTATTAACCAGTAAAAATTAATTTACAAAAAAAAAAAACCATTAAATCTTAGTGCGTGTATTATTATTATTGTTGTTTTTCTTTTCTTTTTTTCTAAAACAAATCTAGCTATCTTAGCTAGTGACCAGATTGGACTTCAAAATAGCAGTAACTAAACTCCAAGGCGCAATGAATTTGTATTTTCAATCTTAGCGTTTCCCTTTCAAGATAATAAGAGTAATTGCAAGCTTTGTCAATAGGGATGATAAACAAACCAGACATCTTTCAGGGGCCTTGTTGAAATCAGGTTTGGACTTGTATAAAAACTCGTTTAATAAAAAGGCCTTATGTTCCAATTCAAAAGCTCGGCCTCAGAGCCTCTTAGGCTGGCTTAATATATTATTTTTTTTATTTTTTATTTTTTATTTTTTATAGTACTTGTAATAGCCCTCTTTCTCTCTCCTCAATCCATTTCATCCTATTTTATTGGTTAAACAGACTTTTTGAATGATTTTGTTCTATATTATGCTGTTTGGATATACATCAAATTTATAAATATTAAAATTACTAGTGCTGTTAATTGTATATTCAAAGTCTAAAACCAAGCGGATTTACTTTTTGTCCTACAATTCTCCACTACTATACATAAAATGATATGTCTTATTTGTATACTTTCTTTTTATATTCATACAGTTTTTTTCTCAACTAATTCAGTATATTTATAAAGTAATAAGGATAATATTTAGATAAATTTTTGTTGTCTTATTTTTTTTAAACAGGCTAAACTAAACTTTTATTTTTTGTAAATAAGCTAGGGCACATGCCGATAATTATATTCATAAAAGATAACAGACTTAGTCAAACACATCTTAATCTTTTAAGATCAAAGCTCGACTTGACTCGGCCTGTTAACATCCTAGTTGTCATATACCGGGTCAATGTCTTTTTGCACTACATATTGTGGAAACCAATTGCATATTGTGCAAACTTGAGTTCCTCTTATACCTTACCTACCTTACCAATTTTATCGGAACAAAAAAAATTAAAAGGAGCATTTGAAAGCAAGAACTATACCCAATTTTTACACTTCTTGTGAATTGTTGTCTACGTCAAGCTTATCTTATTTCATGATTGAAAAATAAGAGAAAGCGAATAAATCTTTTTAATAATTTTTTTTTTAACTTCATAGAAATAGATATTTATTCTGAACTTTGTTTTTGGAACTTAACTCTCAAAACCAAATTTGTTTTACATGGTCCAAATAAATGCATAAAGCTGTAAGTTTTAAATGAATGATTGAGTTGGAAATGGACAAAAGGGGAAGACAATTTGAAAACTACATCAACTCTCAATCGTTGTCGACATGAAACCCCCAACTGTCTCAAAATGTACGAGACAGGTTTCAGGGTTTGGTTCAGTGACATGAAATAATTGGAGACATTAATGGGTACAATTGCTTACATATTCTTATTCTCTACTGCTGTGTCGATTATATTGAACTGAAATGAATAATATATACACTGAATCTTTCAGGGATTTCATTCCCTCTACCCTTCTGTTAAGCATTGTATTCTTGTGTATGTCCTATTTAACTTTCACATTTTTGGATTGAGGTGAAAGAATGTCGTGTTATATATGTATACAATTTGGCTTTGGAAATGATGATTTCGCATATAGTCTCCTCAGTACTTGTACATTGCAGTCATGAAATATTTTTAACAAGTATTAAATTTGTGTTGATAATTGAAGGGTTTCTTTTATTAATACACCTTTATTATATTCACATCCTAAAAGTAGCCTGAAATGGAATAGTGACCGTACTTTATTTTCATGAAATAATGCTGAATTTCCATTATATTCAAGCTAATTAGAATATGTTAAGGTGCTCAACATAACCGCGACAAGTTTATTTATACATCAAAATTGCTGCGAAACCCTAATACAAAATTTGGTCGTGGAGCCATGATTACTGGAACAATACCCTTAGTTAAAAATATGCTATATACTTTTCTAAATTTGTAATGTTATATTAATGTTTGGAGGAATAAAAGTCTTCCAAAGATCTAAGAAAAAATCATGAACATTATGTACATTCAATAATAATAATAATAATAATATTTAATAGGTTTGTATAGAGAGATCTACAAAATTCTAATAAGAATCTATATCTAACTACTAATATCTGATTTGGGAGAATCTTGCAGTAGCTCTATATTCTTACTGTGGTCAAAACTTACGCTTATATATTTGCGTGTAACCCTTAAGAACTATATGCACTATTTTTTATTATTATTATCTATATTTATCACATAATTACGTATTAAAAGTTAACTTTATTGTTTTATTTAATATTGTATATATGTAGAGAAGATTAATTTTAAAAAGAATACTATTAAATTTTTTGAGAATATATAATTCAATTCGTAATAAATTTTATTATGTGAAAAAAATATCGTACTTAACCTCCATATATAAAATTGAAATGTATTATTTTTTAAAATAAAATTATTTAAATATATTAATTTTTATAATATCATTTTCAAACCAGCAACCCACGTCCACCACGGCCAAGTCATCCATTGATTTAGAAAGTGCAGCATGTGGGACCTCAATCATCGCCATTTAATCGTTTCTTTCTTTGAAGGTGATATATATATATATATATATATATACCGGTCAGATTTCAATGATAGAGGTGAAGTCTCATCAAAGGATTGATTAATTGTTATCCATCATTTAATTAATATATAAGAGGGATTGATGGACACATAAAGAAGCAATTAGTGCTATGGTGCTCAATAGTTATAGGCTTGAGTACCATATATAGTTCATATATATATATATATATATATATATATATATATATATATACTTGTACTAAATAGTTTATATATAAAGTCATAATATAGATATTAACTCATCATATCATACCTAATATGGCGTCACAAACAAGCCTTTGAATGTATAAAAGGAGTTTAATAGATACACTTGTAACATACAGTACTTACTGATAAAGTCATAATATAAAATATTAACTTAATTTCATTCTGTCACGAGTTGAGTCGATAGCAACCACTAGATTTAAGTTCAATCATTTAAAAAAATAATAAAATACTATTATCATGATCTTCGTGAAATGATAACAATCCAAAAATACATAATACTAAAGAAATTATTTTAATACGCTTATTGGTCTAAGAGTTTTACATTCTCATTTAATTCTATGTTATTACATCATTTAATGAATTTAACTATGTTAAGAACTATACGAGTTGTCAAACTCATTAAATGATATGATTATATTTAGATGCTAACAATGCATCAAAATTTAGAGAAGTATTGCATAA